GTGCATTTTTTTTTTTTTTTTTTTTTTTAGGGGGGGGGGGGGGGTTTTTTTTTTTTTTTACAGTTGAAATCCTCCACAGTATCTTTAAGAATTTGTTCAGAGTAATATTAGAGCCAAAACAGAAAAACCAAGGCAGTTAAATAGGTACAACCAAAAGGTTTCCAAAGGAATAGCAAAAGAAAATGAAGTTTCTTTTGTGAAGGCGTCCACCTCAGCAGTCTGCCATCCACTAACCTGTAACTTCACAGGATTCCAACCTAAAGCTAATCTCATAAAATGGTTACCCTACATGACGGGTCAAAGATTTTGTTATAACAGGGCTTGCCATATAATTTATTATTTTTCTGTCCCACTCACCCGAGCAGTGGGCCACAAATCCTTGATGACACTTTCAATTCTGTTCACAACATCCCTTCTCATGGCCTCCTCTTCAGGTCTGGGTGACATGAAGCTGAAGAAGTCCATTATTTCCTCATGCAGACTGAAAGAAAACATTTTTAAAAATACAAGAAATGCTCCAACTCTAAATGAGACAGCGTTCTCTCAATTAATCTAAATAAATACTTGTTATTAAAACAGTATGCCTTCTCACCCATTAACGCCCGGGCTGTATCGCCTGGTTTTCCACAGGCTGTAGGAAGAGTCCAGGCCATTGAAGCAGTAGGAGAGGAGCGGGTTGAAGCCGTGGAAAGTGTTGGCCCTGTTCAGCTGCCTCCTGCGGCCGGAGTGATGGGGCTGATAGTGCTGCTGCTGCTGGTTCTTCATCCCGGTGGGGGTGTGGCCGCCGGGCGGCTGCTTGCTGCGACAGTGCTGCTGAACATGAAGAGGCTGTCGGAGGTTGTTCTCCTTCACCTTCTGCTCACCGTTGTGTAAAAACTGCTCGGCCTCGTCTGCGGCGTTCAAATTGTCAATTTGAAGCAAAGAGCCGTGGGGAGAGGAGCTGTCGGCCTCCGAGTCCAGAGAGGAAGAGGACGGCGACAACGAGCCCTTCCTCCGGACACTTCCCCTCTCTCCGCCGCCGTCTGCCCGCGGCAGCTTCCCAAACGCAGTCCCAGGTGTTGGAGCTAAATGCCTGTAGCTCTCGCCGTAAGAGTCCAAGTTGGTGTTTTGTACCGCAAAGTTGCGCTGGTGGTGAGGCTGGAGGCCAGCATTAGCGTGTGAGGTCTCCCAAAGCTGCATCCACATGGAATAATTGGCCAGTCCCTTCTGCTCCGGCTGGATCCAAGCCGTTCCGTTATCCATTGGACTCTAGTTCAGTGAAAAGCTCCCCCAGCAGAAACGATTTAAAGAAAAATGTAAGCAACTTTGCAGTTTGACTCCCTACCAGACGAAAAATCAGGCGGTACCGATTTAGAGGATGTTTCTGAACGGCTTCATGTCTGGAGACCGGTTGGGTTTGTTAAGCGGTTCGGCCAAACTCTCCTCTCCCCTTAAAAGGCAGCCAATATGGCGCTACCAGCACCACGGTTCATCAACCGCTCATCTGTGAGGGATTTAAATCTTTGAACACACCCCCTCAGCGCCTCGTCAATTTACTAAGACCGGAAAGACCGGAAGTTAGGTTCAATATGGTAGTTCAACTTTATAGCATCCAACTACTAAATCCTGTTTTTGGTTTTAATTACTGTATTTAACTGTAACACTACAATAATGTTGAGTATAAAACATGGATGGTGATGAACTGTTAAATTTAAAATTAACCCACTTAGCATGCTTAGTGTGGGGTCAATGAGTCGATGCAATAAACTGATTTTCCTTAGATAGAAAACTGATTTAATTTGAATGTATGATCTGCTGAATTGTACAGTGCCTTGAGATGACACATGTTGTGAATTGGCGCCATATAAATAAACTGAATTGAAATGATCAATTATTTTATTATTTATTTTTTAGCAATTTATACCTAACAATGTTTTTTCTAAAATGAAGACATTTTTAAACTGGTTTAATATGCTCACTATGCACAGCTGTCCATGGGTTTTATTTTGGCGGTCAAAACCGGAAATGAATGCTGAGTCTCTGCTAACTTGTCAAACAACACTGCTCTGATATAGACCAATAAACCCTAGATAGGTTTTTTTTTTTAAGGCAGTAGAAGCATGTTAGGTCCATTCCTTTCTTTCTGTTCACCGTTTTCTCCATAAAATATACTTTTAGAACTACTTTTTTTCCAATGACTTAATATTCAAATAAAAAAATACTTTAAAACAAGTTGGACTGGTAAACTTTGAATTTAGGTTAAAAAAAAAAGGAAAAAAAAAACTTTTTTGAAATTTGAAGGGGATTTAAGCATCTACAAACACACAAAGGATTTAGTAAATAAAAAAAAAAAGTATATTTTTTGAAATACCATTACATAATTGCTATTATTGGAGGGCATGGCTGGAAGTGAGTGTCGAACATTAAAATAAGCACATTAGAAAAAGACTGATGACTAGAAATTACAGAGAAAAAAAAAATCTGTTAAAAATGTGTTAATTTTAATTAGAAAAAAAAAATAGAAAGCTTTGAGGAAAACTGTACAAAACATTTACTCATGCACCAACAGAAATGTAGATACCCATGTATTTACACTAGCTTAGTAGTTTAACTTTATCAAACTGTACACGTTATACAGTATTTACAGTGTTAGCAGAGAATTGTACAAACTCAAGTAGTTCAAGTGCAATTTTTACAGGATGTAGCAGGAAAAATAAAAAAAGGACATATTGCCTGAAACACTACCGATACAAGTGCAATTAAAACACATTTATAAAGTTTCAAGGTATTTAACGATATCTTCAAATTAGAAAAAAAACAAATTAAAATGGCATTCAATACATCCTGTATCACAAAGAGCAAAAACCTTTTAATCAGTCCTTGTGCCTGATGTTAATTGAGGTAGTTCTCCTTTCTTTAAAATAGTTACATACAAAAATTATAGCTAATGTGGCTATGTACAATTTTAGCTCTTGACTTGTCTGCATATGGATGCTATTTGATTAATGCAACTTGTGACGGCAGGAGGGACACTCTGAGCAGCCTCTCCTCTCCACCCAGCAATAGCATCCAGGGCTTGTTTGGGGTTACAGGGAGAAAGTTCATGTATGCAGTAAACGGCTGCTAGCTGGACCGTCCATGGCAACCCTGCAAAACGATATCACAGCGTCACAACACTTGGAGTACATAACCATATCTCTTGACCAATTGATGGGATATTTATTAAATGTTTCAAGTCAAATACAGCTGAACTAAATCTATTTGATATGATAGAAGCTTCCAACCTTCAGCTTGTCCATGCCTTCCAAACGTGTTGATAATATTGGCCACAGTGACCACAGAGGACACACAACCTTCTTTAAGGCCTAACTGGGTGAGACGTCCTGTTTAAAAACAAATGTAATTAGATTCTTCTCTGTCTAGTTGGAACTATTTCACACATTAGTTCCTGTTGCCATTAATATACAAACAAAGCCACTGACCTATGAGTCGTAGTACAGTGGCAACAGTCTCATCTCGGATAGGTTGTTGCTGATCTCTTGGCTGTAGAACCCAGGAGTTCATCAATGGCCACAGGTCTTTGCTGTTAGAATAAGTGAGCGGTGAGCAAAGGAAAAACAAATTCTTAAGAAATTGGAATATCATGAACGTTTCATTTTATCAGTTATTTTAGAGATTCCTTAAATTAAAAACTGACATATTTCAAGAGCTTATTTGAAAAGTTACAAATAGGGAAAACTGCTGAAAATTTAATATAGGTATTAAGATCAATTCAATAGTGGTCAAAAGAGTGAAATTTGCTGGTAATATCAAATAAAAAAAAGACATCAATATTTCTGGCTGAAATTGGCATTTTTTCTTGTATCGGCCAATGATCCATTAGTGCATTCAGCAGTCATGCCTTGAGATCATATGAAGTGCATGCATTGCAACTTTCTTTATAAATATAATTTGGTTTAAACTGGGACTTGTGTAACATATGTTTTCACCATGTCCTTTTGAAAATTGAAATAAAGGGAGAAAAAAAAAAAAAAAATTTTTTTTTTTTTAGGTCAGGTGAGCAATCCAGCACAATCACCATGCAGGTGCGGGTACTTTATTGCAGAGTGGTCAGGTGTCAGTTCCTGTTGGATATTAAAATCGGCATGTCCATAAAGCTTGTGAGCAGCGGGAGCATTTCTGGTAGAGAGCCTCATTTTTTTAACTTTAACTTTGGCTTCTCTCAAGTCCAAAGTCAAATCCTGACCAGATTTAGTAAGAGTTTTTATTCATCTGTTAACTCCGCTTGCTGTGTTATGTGTTACAGCTGCTACTGCTGCTGCGATTAGCTAAAAGCTACTTGATTTACCCAATAGGCTCAAACATTTTACTGAATGTCCCTAATATTAGCTGAAAATTCAGAAAGCACTACATGTATGCCAGGTGAGCAGTAAATCGCCATTTATGATGAAGAATAAGAATGTTTCTAATTTTAAAAGTTCCCTGTATGTGCCCTACACTTAAAAAATAAAAAGTTTGGATATGTTGAAGGATAACATCTCAATGTGATGGTACTTCGTACCAGTCCATGTAAAATACTGCCTATATGTCTGTCTATGGTGAGTCGACCTGCCGTCCAAGATTTAACATTTTCTCCAATTTGAGTAGCGTTCCTTCTACAGTCCTTATAGGTCCTTGCTAAAAAGTCCCCAATGAGACCTTTTTCCATCATATTTCTAACTTCCACTCAACTTTCTATTATGCTGCTTTGTGGTGTTAGATAATGTTTGCTTGACAGATGTCAAGCCAACTGTCTTCCCAGTTATTTTCAGACCCTAATATGACAATATAACCTCCTTTATTAAATATGATCTTTTTAATATTTGTTACATTTTCTTTTATGAATTTTCCCTTAGCTGTAAGCCATGGGGATCAAAATGAACTGAAATAAACACTTAAAAATACTCCCCTCATGTGTAATAATCTATGTAGGATGTTTTTTTTTTACTTTAAGAATCTCTTAAATTTCTTACTTTAAATCTCTTAAAATAAACAAACAAAAAAAACTTTTAGGTAAAATTCTAATTCTGAAATTATGTAAAAAGGAAAAATCGGTTTATTGTCCCGCAATGGGGAAATTTGTCCTCATTTGCATTTTAACCCATCCCTTTGGGAAGCAGAGGGCTGCCATTGTGTGGCACCCGGGGAGCAATCAGGGGTTATGGGTTTTTGCTCAAGAACCCAGAGTGGAGGCTGTGGGGATCAAACCAGGTACTTGCATTCTTCTCAGAGCACAATAGCACTGTTCCAACCCACTAGGCCAACACTCCTCCAATGATCAAACTTTCAATTATCAAAACAACGACAGGTCATATTTTTAGGGGTAGAAATGAGCTCACCCCAGAATGCGTTCATAGGTCCATTTCCACTTTTTTTGTGAACACAAGAGGTGCAGTGTGAAGATTTGTTCCCAGGCTCCAGTTCCTAGGTCTTCTCCATAGCGGATGTGTTTGATGAAAGACTGATTGGAACCTGAGCGGAGCTCCTCCAGAGTTCTGAGGATCAGCTGGTCAGCATCACAAGGAGGATTCTGTGGAGATAAAAGAAAGGAAGACATGGTTTCAGGAAATCACTCAAGACTTAGGTAGCAAATATAAACTAATTGTATCCCAACCTACAAGGAGGGGGTAAAATGTTTTATTTTACAATTTAAGGACCGTTACAAAAAACTACACTGTCATAAAAAAGAAGAATGCAGGCCTATCTTTAAATCAGAAAATACCTTTTCCCATCCAAGAAAAGCGGAAAGGCAACCATGAAGCCCTTCTGGTGTTTTCAGTTGGGTGATGGAATGAATGGCCTGGCACAGTAAACTACTGTGAGATAGAACATTCGGCCATGTTGTCACCATAAACAGAACTAGCTTCGCTGAATCTGGAAAATCTAAAACAACATAAAATGAATCAACACACTGAAGGTTGAATAGAAAAAAAAATCAAGGCTTAAGGAAAAAGATTTGGGGATTAATTTATAGTCTAGATTTTTAGCCCAATTGTGCTTTTAAGTATAAAAAAAATAAATAAAATAAAAAAATACACATGTAACAGGTATTTTATGAAGAAAAAAACTGTCCACCTTCAACAAGAATGCTGTAGGCCAGGATGCGAGCCTTCTCCCAGTACTTCTTCTGTCTACAGATCCCAATGTAAACTCGACACAGTGCTTGTAGATAGTTTAGGCTCAGGGAATTTTTTTCAGCCTTTAGTTTGGTCAATATGGCCGTCATCATTTCTTCTACCTGAAGCTATTAAGAAAAAAACAACAAAATAAAAACAACAACCAACAGTTGTTAAAATTAGCCTAAGAAAAATATCTTTTTCTTTTGTAACTATAATGTCTCTCTGGACTGATGGAAGTTTGTCCCCTTTTCCCCCCAGGTTCCACTAGAAAATAACTTAGTTTCTATTATTTTTATAAAAACGAGGGGGAGCTTCAGCTGCAAGAAGCTGAAACCCCATCGATGTAAAAACTCAACAAATAGACGGAATAGTTAGTCCTTCTTCAGTGCAGGTTTGTGCATTTAAAATTGTCATTTGTAAAAAAAATTATAATAAAAAACAAAAGCTGCTGTTGTTTCAGATATTAAAGATTATTTTTTAGGTCCCCCAGAGGTCAACTATACCCTCCATTAAGCTCTGAATTGAATAAGAATTTTGTAGCCTACCTTTTCAGTGTTACTTTATTTTGTTTATGCTGATTTGGTTTTTAAGATTAAGAAGAAGAATTTTTTAATGATGGCCAATGACGTCGCCATCCCAGCAGACATTAGTGCTGCGCTCGTTTCCTGATATAAAGGGCGTTTCTCAATATGCGTTCTTGAGCGTTCTCGTGTGCTCGTGTACTCGTGACACGTCATCAGCCTCAGCCCGAGTACCGTTCCAATTCTCGAGGACGCCAGATCGAGAACGCATCAAATCCCCGGATGTTATTCTCACCCCGCCCTCTTTATCGAGCATGCATCAGAGCAGACTTGTGCGTTCTTCAGACTGACCGCTTT